ATATGACCTGGGATGTATTCAGAATCAGAAATACTTTCATAATCCCAGAGGGAAATTGCGGTGGTATTCACACCACTCCAGGGTTTTGATCAATTCCTCAGGGTTTGGTGTAAAAATATCAATTTCCTCAGGTTCAGTTTCAAACCAAACATCCAAAAAGGAGGGAATTTTCTTCCATTAATGTTGCAAGCAAAGACATTTGGTCATTTAAATTTTGATTTTGAACTGCAATCCAGAAATGAAACTTTGAAAAATGTTTTGTTCTTTAAAGAAATTCAAGTGGTTTTGAGAGTAAACTTGCATTTTTTTCAGATTATTGTTTTCAATTCATTTTTTTATGTTAACAGATTGTAAATTTGCAATTTTTTATTGTAACTAATGTCCATGCAAACCAATAGAAAAGCCTCTTTGCTCCTCAGAGGAAGGCCCAACCCAGAAGTGAGGAGAATGTGATCTGTAAGACGATTTTCAAAAGTATAAAATCTGTAAAACTCAACCTGAAAAGCAGAAGTAAAATAAATATATAGTAAAAATTAAAATTGATTAAAATAAAAACATCAGAAAAAAATGTATTTTTTGGTAAATAATAAAATTGCTTAAAACATTTATTTCAAAAATCTAAGAAATCAGTTACTCTCAAGATTTTGGTTTATTTAAGAAGTTTTATTTCTAGTTTGCAGTTTTTTTTTTCAAATTTCCATTTACAAATCATGTTCTTTGTTTGAAACAACAATAGAATAAAATTCTCTCCATAGCTTTTAACGTTAGCGCCACAGATCCAGAGCAAGGAGGCTAAACTCCGTTTCTTTCTGGTTTAGATCAACCCCAGCTGTGGGTCAGAGGTGTGACGGCGGACTCGTACCGAGCCTCCCTGCACCAAAGCAACTTGCTTCCTGGCCAAGTTTTGAAACCTGAGACGGACAATAAGGAACGTAGCGAGGGGTTAGCAGGACACACGTCGAGATGGATGGGCAGTGACAGCCTGGTTGTGTGTAGAATCAAGGAATGCTTCTTCATAACCGCACATAGCGGGAGGGGGATGTAGGCTGGTGAAGGTTTGGAAAGGGTCAGGGTGACCTTACAGAGCTTTAGGACCTTTGAAGGGTTTCACAAATTCCTTCTACACTCCGTCTGCATGGAAAGTCAACCTGATCCAATTCAAAACTCTTTTTTTAAAACAAGCAGCAAAATGAGCTGACTGCTACAGATCTATTCCCTGGATGAAAAGCAAACGTTGGGCTAGTGAGTCAAAGCAAAACAAAAACAGAAAGTGAGGCGAAGGTTAAATCTAGTCTCTTGAGAAAGACGCGGAATCAAAGGATGGATGCTATGCATGAAAAAGCAGATATTAACTTTCATAGCTCGAATATAAAAGCAGAGGCTGGCATCATCCCAACAGCTGGGAAAACTTCAGCAGCCTCCCTTTATGAGGATTTAACTTTACTAAGTTAAATAAAACTGTAACACATGCCAGTAATAGGGTTGGATGATATAAGGGGAAAAAAAGCATACTGATAAAATCTAATTCATTTGGATTAACAAAGATAATTATTACAAAATATTCAAAACCTAAATTTAAACTCAGCCATAGTCATTTATGCTATTTTTTTATGAGATACTTCTAACAAAGAACACACAAAAAAACAAAATTCTAATGATCAATGTTTTTGTTTTCTTTCTTCTCCCACACTTTTTACATTTGATCACTGCTGCACTCTAAAGAAATGTCATGAAAGCAGTAAACAAACAAAATTTCGTTTTGTATCCACTCTGAATACAAAATGAAAATAAAAGTTGTCCAAGTCTGATTAAATATTTATTTCAACTTTCTTTTAAGAAAAATATTTCAACCTGAGATGCCTTGATGTCAGTAAATACTGAAAAAATAAGAATAGCCTGAAGTGACATAAAAATCACCTAAATATTTAAACAATCCTTTGAGCAAAATAAATATTACAAACAAAATAAAAAAATGGAGTTTGTTTAGGAGGGAATACCAGCCTGCGGTAGTGAAAACGTGGTAGCTACCATGTGAATAGCATCCTGCAACTTTTAGATCCAACCATGGTCTAACACACCTGATTCAGGTGTGTCTTTTGTTTCCTCAGTATTTAGCAATCCTTCCTTTAGTGAAAGACTTTTACACCCTATTTGTAAAAAGGAGCTCTGTCGCAGGTTCTTCATCCCTGCTGCCATTAGACAATACAAAAAAAAAAAAAATTAATAAAAATAAATACATATATATATATATATGGGGTGTAAATCACATCCATCATGGCGATTCGATTTAGTATCATTTCCTGACCCAACGATTCGATTCTTTTCAATACTCAATACACCACGATACGACCACGCTTCAATATTTAGCATAAATCAAAAATGTCTGTGTTAGGCTCACTGCAACAAACTGCTGTAAGAGTATAACCAGGAAGCGAGGTAGGAGGGCAAAGTTTAGCGCCACCGCGGCATGGGAGGGAGAATTACATCCAGGAACAAATGGATAAAAATGGACCGGAGGAAAAAAAAACAAAAAACAATCGATTATCTTGCGGACGTATCGATGCATCGATACAAAACGATTATTATTTACATCCCTAATATATATATATATATATATATATACAGTATATATCAATCCGTGTAAACACCCTGAGCAATAACCCTGTATAATGATCGTACAAAAAAAAAAAAAAGCTGTTATATGTGGAAGCTCTGTATATACTGCATATATCCCATGCATCTTTTTCTTAAGCATAAATCAACTCAACCTTTAGCTAAGCAGCACTTTTGGGTATTTTTAATCTCATCCCTTTTCCTCTGAAAGAGGTGCCAACTGTAGCACATTAGATGAAACATCTTCACATGTTCTGTAAAGATGACCCTTTGTAACAGTGTGTGTGT